ACATTTTTCTCTCAATGGTTTTATGTATGGTGCCCTTTCAATTTCTATGACTTCTGTGAGTTCTAATGCTTAAAATGTTATGTTAATAAGACAGCTGTAATTCAAATAAAAAAAACGAAACCATCGCCTTTGGGAGAAAGAAGGAGGGGGGAATTGAGGGGCTCATGGGCCCCCTTTAACTGCGTGCCTGAATGATTGGGTCATTCATCGAATGTGTCGGGCTATTTATGTGCGCGTCACATGCAACGACACTCTTTGACAATCGGCAAGCAAGCCGCCCCGTTGTTGCATGCCACATGGCACATTGGCATGCTCTTCATACTCGTATAGCAAACCAGCAATAGCTCGCTTACTGTCTGCAACGTCATAGTCATAGTTATAGGCATAGTCATACTTGTAGTTGTAGTTGTACTCGTCGTCGTCGTCGTCGTCGTTGTCGTCGTGGCCAGCACGTTGCTTATCGAGATTTTTGAACCTAGTAATGTCGCACGTTATTTGCCTTTAGTTTTTAGCTGTTGCTCGTATTGTTTGGCTTTGTTTGCATTTCAAAGTCTTAGCCTTTATGTACGTACCTATTGTGTGTTAGATGTATGCATATATATATACAAGTATATATATGTATATGTGTGTGTACATGGGCTTTTGCGTAAATATTTGCCATTTTTATCGGAGCTGCCTTGCCGCCGCTGTTGCTGTTGCTGTTGCTGCAACTCTTATAGGAGGCAGCAGCTCGTGTTTGGTTCGCAGCGGTTACACATTTTTTTTCTTGCTATTATTTATTTAATATGCGCCTGCACATAAATCCAACTACCGTCGAATTATTGGGCAAGCAGATAAACTTGAAGATTTGGGACAATGGCGTAATGTTGCGTGCATGCGTCGCCGATGCTTTCCGACTGACTAACAGACACGCTCGCATATAGTCCACCAAATATGTATATGTATATACATACAGATATACTCGTAGTTATGAGAGGAAACAGAATGCTGCGTGCGGTAAGTCGGTCGTTTAAATAGTTTAAGAGCAACTTCGGTAGCCGTGGCAACTGCCATTAAATCTTTTATTGGTTTGCATGCTTTTCGTTTTTGCGTGCCGCTCGACTCGACTCGACTCAACTCAACTCAACTCAAAACTCATCATTAGGTTAGATCTGCACATAAGGCCTAATGAACTTCCGTTTAAGTTGTTATGGCAATAAAACGTGGCATTGTTTAATGTGTGGTGGTCGGGCAAATGCGTAAAATTATAACTTGATTTAAATTAATATCTAGCTAGCAACATAGACAATGCTCTACGAGTATGCGTGTAGTTTGCCAACAGTTGCCACAGCTAACGGCCCATCGTTTTGTGCGGTTAAATGGCATTTACCAAGACGGTAGACCTTCAGTGATAAAACCCATAAATCTAATATACTCGTCTGCTATATGCTCGTGCCTGCCCCACATCAACTCACAAATGATCCATCCCTGTACTTTGAATTACCCATCATCCGAAGTATTTGCTCCAAATTCTACAACATTCTGAGTAAGCAATTGTACACTACACCAAACCACACTAATTGCCCTTGTCCAATTGGTCAAGGTATGTCAATAAAGTTCTGCGACCTATTATCGATTTAAAATTTAAGATAATCAGTGTATGCCGTTTCTTCGCTATACGCGACAATGTTTTATTCTAGTTGCATATGTAGAGGCCAAGGAAGTAGTAAGTAGTTTATTCTCAAGATCTTGCCGGCGGCTCTGAAAGACCTTTATTATACGACAAAGTCGTGAAGAGACATTCTGAGCTGAGGGTAGATTTCATTAAAAAATATAGCGTGACTTTTGCTTTGCTACCTTTTTAGCACTTCAACTTCTGCAAGCATTACGAAGATATCTTAGTTATATCAGGATAGAAAATAATGCACATTTAATGACTTAGTAGATTCTTGATATTTAATCATAGATTTTTTATATCCCCTGTGGTTTGATTCGCTTTATTTTCCGCTAGAACCGTTACCACTCAATCATAAAGACATCGTCAATTTCCACGCCAGCCCCCGCATACACACACAAATTGGATTTATTTAATTCCCAAGCACCTTCTTTGTATGCGTGTCATAGCGATCAGTTCACTCGCCTCTCTCGGTCTAGACGTGAGACTTGCAACATGGCTTAGAATAAACCAACAATGACGGCAGCAGCAAGAGCGGCAATAACAACAGCAGCAAATTTAAATTTATGCGCCATTTGGACACAACGATGTGATGATGGCTATAAAAAAAAGTAACAGACTGGACAACGAGCGCACTCATTGCTCATTTTTATTTTTTTTATTGCACAATTAACTGCGTAGCAACATAAAACAGAAAAAGATCAACAAAAAAAACTACAGACAACTTCACCGCTGCTTCGAGTAGTGAGTCTGTTGACATAAATGCGTGGGCCGCAGTGCGACGCAAACAACTGCCAAATGATTTGCAAATTGAAATGCATGCGTAGCTGCTAGTACAGCTATATACAAGTATACATATATAATTATATTTGCATATATTAAGATATGTGTATGTGCGCGCATAACTAAATAGAGTTGCAACCCACATGTGAGATGAGCCAAAATGAAATCAAAATCAAGTTCTTCTCAATTACACACAGTCTGTCTGAATGGCTGATGGTATCATTATACTTGTAGTATGACTATATGGCTGTTTGAATGTTTGACTGACTGACAGACTGGCTGGCTGACTGACTGACTGACTCATGGCGCGGCACAGCCTCAAGTGCAGCTCTTGACAGCGCGATTAACTAGCTCAAGTGTTGGCTGTAAGGCTGCCTGGCTGCCTGACTGCCTGCCTGCTTGCCTACCTACCTGCCACATTGCAGCGATTGTTGTTTTAATTAACGAGCTCAAAATCAATTGCTTCACTTTGAATTGTTGCTGTGGTTGTTGCTGTTGCTGTTGCTGTTACTGTTGCTGTTGTTATCGTTGTCGTTGTTGTTTCTGCTCGCAACATTCAAGATCTTGAGGTTATGTTTTTCCTTTGCTGCTGGTCTGCCACTTGAGCTTGGGTATTACTTTTTGGCTGTTGACTGTTGTCTATTGACTGTTGCCTGTTGACTTTCAACAACGGGCACATCGAAGACATTGAAGCTCTGAGCTTGTCGTTGATAATGTTAATGTGACTGCCACTGAACATGCTCCAAATGTTTAACTTAATTTACAGTATTTGGTTTTTATGTCTGTCGTTTGTTATGTCTTGTTTATTAACACGATTCAGCCAACTCGTCGTCTATGCATTTAAATACTCGAACATGCCCGATCTCAGCAGAAACATGCAACAATCTTTAACTTTAAATTTCGATCGCAAAGGATATAACCAACTTAAAATAGTTCAGTAAGCTTCTTTTCTGTAATCCGTAGAATAGCAAAACAAATGTACTGCAGAGATATTTCTTCGCTCTTTGCCCGTAAAACTTTACAACTCTCACTAGAAACCTAATTCGATTCATCTTGTTGCGGTATTGGATCCAGCAAAGGACTTTTGTAAGCAATTTTTAATTAATCCTTTGTAATGCATTACCTCTTGGGAAAATATTCGGCTCTCGGAATCGTTTTTTTTCCCACATTGTTCAAATATTGTTGACATTTCTTTCGTTTTAGTTTTAACCCACCAGTCACTGCCTTTGAGTTCTTTGGTGTTTTACAGTTTTTTCTTTTGCATCTAGTTTTCCGTTCTAGCCAGTTTGTATTTGTTTTACAATTTCGGTAAATATTTGTAAGCTTCAGAAACTATTTTTCGGTAAACAATTTGCGTTTGAAAACTTCAACCAAAAGCATTACACGGATCAAGAAAAATGTCGCTGTTAGAAACAAACTTAGCTTGCAGTCGCCTCCTATTCCTAGTGCCAAGAACCTGAAAAGATTATTGATGATGTGCCTGAAGACAGCAGGAATAGTTTAATTATGTTAAGAGCAATTAGAGTCACTAAAAACTAATCCCTAGTCACTACAAGTTTTTTTTTTTTTACACCCAGTTTGATCATGACGTCCATGAGCTACGGAAATGTTATATGCAAGATAGTAAGGTATATTGCTATACTGTCTTTATGGTGTACAATGAAAACGATGATAGCTTTAGTTTTATGGCTAGTAGAATGCAGGAGTTGGGCACGGTCTAAGCCGACTCCGAGCCTATGCGTACCACATACAACCCCGACAGTGCGGACGTCCATATCCACGCATACATTGCGATGAAGATGGACAAATCCCACCCACCCTGATGAACGTTTTGTCCCGGATCAGGAGCAATACGACGCAGATGAACAAGAGATATGTCAATCGCGTCCATGCTTTTTCGTCGCATCGTTTAAACATAAGCATCATCAAATGATTTCTGTGATATCGAAAGATTTTGATTACCCTATAGTACATTATTTATTTTTTATTATTATTGTAGTATCAGCTTCGACATTGGTGTTTACTAAGCAATTAAATAATCAATTTGGCCATACAATTTTACAACATATTCTTCGTAATTAGAGTTCATTCCAGAATTTTAGGGACCTCTATCGAAAATCGCTTGTGTTGCTGATGTTTTGTTATCAATTCAGCTATCGATTTGATTCGTAAACGTGATTTCGATAAATATTGTATCGGAGAAAACTTCCCACAAATAAAATGAAACGCACGAACTGAAAAACTGTGATGGTGCCTTTTAGCTCTTTTTAGAAAGAAAAAAAGTGTTTTTGAAGGGAAAAAGCAAATGGATTTGCGAAAAAGCATTAAAATAAACTATATTACTACTACTAAATGAATATTTCTGATAATATGTATATATAATCAAACAAGCTGGAACAACTGGAAAGGATTTCGGATAATTTCTGTGGAGAAATTCTGCATACAATTAATATTTATGGATTGTCAAATAAAAATTTACTCTGCACTTTTTTTTCTCATTTCGTAAAAGTTGTCATGCAAAGTAACTCAAATCGAATATTATTCAATAAATAAAACAATTGCATGAGTTGAATATTAAATTTATAAGCCATTTAATTTCGATTGCCAAAATATCTATATATATATATATATATACATATATATATGATCGTTTACATGATTCAGAAATCCATACAGCTGAGTCAATACAAACTCCTGACAGGGGCCACACCATCAGGAACTTGCTGCGCACCCACCAGCCGGCACCTCCATCTCATCGATTGTCTTTCCATTTCCTCTCTTAGTCTTAGTTGGAAGATTTTTCTTTGGTCTGCCTAAGCGAATCGCATACACTTCGCCTTCTGAGTGTATGTGACGGCGCCATATTCCTCCACGATCTGGTCAATGGCTATTTTGTTGAGATTCTCCAGATAGAGACGTGTCTTGCGCGACTGAATGATGTAGCTGATGACGTCGTGGAGGTTGTCGAAGAAGAGAAAGCCAGCTGTGCCACAGCTAAGGTCCAGATAGCGGAAGCGATTTACATCGCAGGTGCAGCCATCGAATAGGAAGTAGATGAAGTCGGTGTTGTTGTGATACCGAAAGACCACATAGTTGCCCCACGGCGCCATCACAAAGACGCGTTCGGCACATCGGAAACCGGCGCGCAGCAATTTACAGATGCTGTCGTAACATCCGTTCTCGGAGCCAACCACTGCCATTGTCTCGGGTATTCGTAATAGGGCAGGATAGTGATTGGGTTGGGCGCGCACAACATCGTGCGGTCCCGTCGATTCCGGGCAGGGGTCTAGGGGCTGCAGCTCCTTGGGCTTTTCCGGGCATGGTGGACATGGTGGTGCTTCGACAGCCACTGGCGCTGCTGCTACCGAAGGCTTCTTCTTTCCCTTTTTCCCCTTCTTTTTACCCTTCTTTCCACCCTTCTTACCCATCTCGTGGGGCTATCAGAAAATTAAAATTCTAAACTAAATCTAGTTGTCGTTTGAGCTGTGGGGCCCTCTGCCAGACTCGACCCACGACTCGCTTTTTCGCTGGTCACTTAGAGGATAATAGTAACGAACTGCACCTGAACATATTGCCGAAGTGGCGGAATTCGACTTCTCTATCAATTGCCAGTCGCAGCCACTTCGGGTACAATATTAGAGGAATAGGGAAATGCCATTAAATATCGCTGCCAGCAGACAGCGTCCAATATAATGCTCACCTAAAACGTTGAATCAACTATTTTTGCAATGCGCCACTTTGAATTTAGCCGAAAAAAGCGAAAGAGAATTTTTATGTATTTTTGTAAAATTTTTTTCGAGAATTGTGTGTTTGCCTGTTCGTAACAATTTTAACATCTGAAATTTTGATATGCTGTTACTCGAAACTAATCCAACAATCTGACAGCCAAAAAGAAACTAACGCCAGGCTACATTGATGCGTAAGAATTTATTTTCAAAGAAAAACTATGTAAGGTAACTTCGTTTCGAAGCAACCCTGCGATAAAATTATTAAACAAAACGATTATGGCAAATCATTCCAAAAAGCCAACTCGTTTAGACCACGGCCTACTATTAATAAGAGATTTCCAGTTCAGGAAAGAACACCCATACAAGCAAATAATAATAGGGATTTCAGACACAAACACAGCACAAACCAATGCATTGTAATTAGGATAACAGCAAAAAAGAAAGCATCAATAAACGGACGGACATCTTCCGTATACAATATATACAAATATGCATATATATTAGGATATGCATTACAGTGTCATACAATTCTTTAATAATATTTATGACCATTTGAAATGATTAAAGCTAACTAATTATGTTAATTAGGGTAATGTGTGAATCTTAAAACATAAATATGAGCTCAAACATGGGACCATGTTGCCAATTGCTGAGAGGACTAATATAGCAATTTCCATATAATCTCTCGAGTGACCATCGAATTCTTTGAATTCATAACACGAATGGATACTAGAATTATGGATCATGCTTGCTGCAAACTATACTATAAGAATCGGAGCTAAAACAATTTGTATTAGTAGTATGTGTAGTATTAGTTCAGTTTATTAATGACTCACTATATTACAATATGTTATCTAATTGTTTATTAAGAATTATAATGTAGAAGATTAGAATGAAGTCCGCTTTACAATCTAAAGTAGAAATACACAATTGAATCAATCTTTGATTACTTTATTTTCTTTTATTGGGAAATATGATTTGCTTACTCGAATCCGCATAACATATTTTGACTGGAAATTGCGCGAACATATCAATTTTTTTGATGACTGCCACAGGCATACGAGTATTTCTTTGAATTGCATAAGTATGACAGTATGTTTGAATAACATGTCCATCTTCTCTCACTCTGCAGCTTAGCTTGGCGTGCAGACCAAGTCAAGCAGTCAAGGGTCAAGAGGGTTCCACTCGCAACGCTTACTCGAAGCGCAGCAACTGCCTAACGAGTCTGCAAGGTGACTTGAACCAGCAACAGCATCCGAAGAAGAGACAGAAATCTAAGCCACAACGACTACGACAACGTACAACGCTCACTTTGCCAAATAAATTGCAATTGTCGTGATGACTGCCTGACTGCCTGCTGACTGCTGGCTGCCTGACTACCTGAATGCCTGTCGTCTACTCATCTAGCTTAATACTGAAGCGTCAATTTTCTGCATGTTTTCTGACTGATAACTTGAATGCGAATGTAAATTAAGTGATTGCCGACAGCCTGAGCAGGCAAAAAGCCAAAAGCTAAACAGCCAAAAAGCCAAAAATCCGACAGAGGCAGGCGGCAGGCGGCAGCGGCAGTTTAATTAAGTTGGAGCTAAGGAGTCGAGAAGAACAGACGGCAGCAGTTAGGAGTTAGGCACTAGACTTATACACAGTACTTAACATCTGTGCTTGGGCAATAAAAAGACAAGCCAAACGAATGATTGCAAAAGGATCCTCAACAACAGCGGCAATGATGGCAGGCACAGGTCTGGCCAAAAGTGAATGGTGGTTGGTGGTTGGTGGCTGGTGCCAAGCAATTAAAAGCGTATGCTCAAGACCCTTGCCAAGAAAAAAAAAAAAAAAAAATAAGAAACACCAACACACACAACAGCACAAACAGAAATCAACCAAAAATATAATTAAAACTCACACGTCCAAAATTAAGAACCTGTTACCTGTCACTAACACACAAAAGTGGCTAGGAAAAATGTTTTCCAAGCACACACGCGCATACAGACACAGATTTATACACGCTCCCAGCCATATGTATGCTAGGTGTATGCAAAATACAATACATGACAAAATTTTGCGTACATGGCAATAACAAAAATATTTGTTCAATAGCAGAAATATTGCACATTTCAAAGCAGCCTCTTGTTGTCTTTCAGTAAGTCAGAGAGTCTGTCTGTCTGTCTGTCTGTCGCTGTTGTAGTTGCTGGCAAGCAACGGTAAATTAACATTATGCCGGCCCACTGTGCATGCAAATGGTCAACATAGTAGTAGTAGTATTGACCAATGCTCCAAAACGCCGAGGAACAAAAATGCCCGCGACCGATGGACCAATGAACCAATGGACAAGTGGACCGATCGACCGACGAACCCGAACCGGCAACGAGAAGCAACAACAACTACAACAGCCGCCCGGCGGTCATGTCTAGACGTCTTGGCGTTCGCGGTTCGCCTGTAGCTGTCTCGTGATATTTTATGCACAATTCGCGTCATTAATTTGTTTAGCGCTTGATTCGAAACGATCATGAGCTTATGAATGTAAGTGTGAGTGTGAGTCTCTCTGAGTGCAGCTCAGGTGAATGCAAGAAAAAAAAAATACAAAAAAAGAAAAGAAATAAAAACACCAATGCAGGCCGAAGCGTGCGATCAAACGATACCGGCGGACAAACCGATCGAACTCGAACGTATATCTTTGTATGTATGGCCGGCCAATGACCACTGACCACTGACCGATCGACCGAGCGACCAACCAACCGACCAAGCGACCGGCCGACAGGTGCAAAGTGCCAAAAGCATTGGACACTCGATCGCTGAACAGCCATAGTCTATCTCTCTGACCAAGTTTGGCACAAATTCTTTACCAAAAAAACAACAAATAGGTCGACAGTTGCAATTCTGAGTCAAATACAAATTGATCGGCGTAAGCGGAACCTCAAGCCCGAAAACTTCTCGTACGATCGTATATAACTAAAGCTATAAAATTATGAGCTTTTGAGGAGCATGAAGTTCGGGAATCAGAGAATCAAGATTGCTGATCTGTTAGCCAAGAACTAAATAGTGGGTAAGTGATCTGTGATCTTATAAATATTTAGTTTACTTTCCGCCAATCGCTTTCAAGCTAAGTTCCTTAAGAAATTTAATGTTTTTTTTTGAATTTACAAATAAAGAACTGATTCTGAACGATTCTGATTCCATCTGGAAAACAACTAAAATATAGATTCTTTAGTTAAAAATAAATTGTTTAAATGAAGGTACATAATTAAAAAAAAAAATATATATATATATTAAAAAATATAAAAATATATGAAACAAAATACATAAAAAAAATTTAAAAATATATTAAAAATATATAAACAAAATTGGATGCTATCTAGCTTATGAGTGAGAATTGTGACAAGAGCGATAAATTTTATGCGAAACTGTGAATTGTCAATGTTTGCTTCCCAGGCGCACATGTGCAAACATTGCCACAGAATACTATGCAACATGCAACACCAAGACGCCAGGCTGCCACCAACGACGTCACGATGACAATGTAAGCTGTGGCTATGGCAGGCCAACAGGCCGGCAGGCCGGTAGGCAACCAGCCAGCACGCCCGACCTGGCCGTCGCATCTTCGGTGCATTGGCGGCTAAAAACGATACGAGCCTTAACCAAAACTGGCATCTGCTGTCGTTGGCATCAACAACTATGGCTTGCAATGACAACACCAAGTTGTTGCTTTTTTTCCGGCTCGATCGCCTGCTTAGCGAGTCTAAACTCTCTGGCTGTTTTCACCGAAGCCTCGTCCCGCTGCCTTTTTTTATTGCTTCATCTCCATCTAAGCAGTGCTTGAAGTGTTTAGCTAATGGGCGGCTTAACCTGCCTCTTTTGCAACGTGAATCTGCATTTTTGATTTCGCCTTGTCTTAAGCATTTCAGTATTTATTTATTTATGCTGAGCTGAAGCGGCACTTGGGATCGAGGAAAATACTCGTATACGAAATGTGCAACGCATTACATAAGCGACGTAGTTGCAGTTGCAGTTGCATCTTCGCCTCTTTCGTGGGTGAGTCGCCATCAAACTGCAGCAGCAAATTGTTTACTTAGGCCCCCAACGGTGGCTCAAAATGGCAATTGGCAGTAGCTTCGTTCGACACCTCGACGCAGATGCAGGCTGAGCTGAAGAAGGCATTAACATAAGCACGAAATTACTCACACACCACTATTAACTCAATAAAAATGTATCTGTTTTTAATGTGCTGGTGATGTTATTTTTATTTCAACAAATTTTTTAAACAACTATACAGTCAGCTTGAGTGTCTTGAGATATTACTTGTATAAAACAGTCATCAGAATAGCATTAAAAGAAGCCTGTAATTCAATGATTTAAATAAATCTAGCGGCTTTTTAAATAAATTATTCTGCATATATGCTTATTTTTAAAAAACTGCTTAAACTAACGGCACAATATTTTTAGCAACATGTGCAGCCCTTAAGTGGGGGAAAATGATTTCAGTAATTGTGGGTTATTATCTGATTAAATTATTTACAAGTATTTTAAGGGTGTATATGAAGTTTTCGTTTCAACAAATTCAGTAATAAGGATGTACGAAAGCCATCATTACAAGTATAAATCAGCGATCAATTGATTATTGTCTGTAAGCATTTATTCTGTATCTGTAAGAGTAAATATCTGGTCCAGAAGCTCTTTTGTACTAAAACTGATTAGTGAATTTATTTAAAAGGATGTTAGAACTTTTTCTATATTTGTTTTGGAAATATGTACATTGCAAATCAAAATGCTCTAATATATTGTACTTGTATGTTTTGATAGCTCCTCAAAATATTCTGGAGAGTGCTATAGCGTTAGAACACGGATAATAAGATAATGTTATTTTAAAATAGAATATTTAAAGTTCTTCTTTAAAATATTACCACCTTTTTCTATTATATATTAACCCCTTTAATTTATAACGAAGCTTTTTTTTTAGTTTATGTTTAAAATTGAAACTTAACAATTTTTCTTTGTTATCAAATAAGGGATTAATACGCCCAAATCACAAAGAAAGCATACTCAGTGGTGCTTAAAACTGCTTCTTCATAATTACACTCAGTCCGAGCTTTGTAACTGCTTCTCGGGGTTAGGTTTTTGACACGGCTCTTTGAAATTCGGCATTCAAAAACAATTTTTTTCTTTAAAAGTATTCTCTCTTCTTCAGAAAACTCTTCAATAAAAATTCAAAAAATCATTTCAAATCACAGCCATAATTTATAGATTATATACAACAGATCGGGATATTTAATTTTAAAAAACTGAACCTTTCTGAAAGCTTAAATTATGCATTCAAACAGCAACGGTTTTTTTTAGGTAAAAGCTTTCTTTGCAGTACAGACACGATCCAAATAATTGTTAGCAAGCTTTTAGCCTTGCACTCAACATAAACTTTCGCTGAATAAGTTTATGTAAGCGCAGCTTTTTGGAGGGGAAATCCAACATAGACGCCCGTAATACTCATAGGTATAAAAATGTGCGTACCAGCTTCCCAGCTTCCCACCTCCCACATCACCCCAACCCCCCAAAGACGAACCAGCTGCTTTCCGTCGCAACACTGAACATGACTAAACATGTTTGGCATCCCAGCTAAGATGGTGGGGGGAGTTGGGGAAGGAAAAGAATATCGAACATTCCTCCAACAAAAATATTTGTCCAGATTGGTATGCGAAAATAATAATATGCCAACCTCCAACAATTTCCTAGCAAGTGAAGAATGGCGGCATTGGAAGTGGCGAACAGCCAGCGCCGGTCAACTATGGGTATGTGGGGCACATAGCCAGGTTACCAGTATATCGTCATAGTCATAATCATAGTCATTGTAGTCGTCAGCGGCATCGTCATCGTCATCAACGTCCTCAGCGTCCTCGGTGCATTGAACCGCCTACTTTTTGGCGCCTGCCACAACTGGAAACTCTCGACGCCATCGAGTCTGTGTGCCCTGCACATTGGAGTCATTGGGTCGGTCACAAATGGGCACAGTGTACGCATCGAAGGCCACGGGGACGTGACAGCATTGCAATATATATATATAGTATGTGTATGTCGTGTTTATACGTGTGTATACATACTACACGCGTGTATATGTATTGGTAACGGGTGTGCGCGAAAAGAAAAAGCAAAGAAAAAATAACAAGAAAGTAGAAACATGGGGGACATGGAGAACTGTGGCGCCAGCACAAGAACGACTTCATTTTTGGCGAGTTGGCTTCCACCTAGTGTCGTTTAAATGCTGCCAACAGGTAAGCGAAATGCAAAATAAAATCCACAGCCAAATGGGTTAATATTAAAAAACTTTCAAGTGGCAAGAGAGCAAGAACAACATCATCAACAATAAAAACAACAACTACAGCAGCTGGGAGCCCAAGTCACATGCTTCCCTGCATGTAAGTAGTACGTCCTAGTGGTGTCAATTCCAAGTCATACAAAAACCGATTCATATAGATAATACATCGCACTGAAGGCAAATGGTTATTGTACGTAGTTTGCCAAAAAAAAAATCAAATAAATCAACATATCCAGATGTACGACCTAAAATAATAGCACTAATACTATTTACCATACAATGCGTATTTTAATTTCAAGTAATTGCATAGAAATTGTTCATTTTTCAAATTAAAAACTTGATTTGTTTTATGAAGATAAAGTGTTTTCCGAAACTTTTCAACACAATAGTTTTGTTTACTCATAGTGCCTTATTTAATTAAAATTTACTCAATATAGCAGTTATAGTTTTGTGCAAAACTTAATATAAATAAGTACCTGAAACTATTTTGTTTGTTACGAAATGGTAATCAAATTTATAATTTTATTTCATTTTGTTTGTTACGAATTGGTAGCCAAATTTATAATTTTATTTTATTTATTTATAGAGCTAGCTTAACGTTAATACTATAAGCTAACATGGATTTAAAGCCACGCTACCAGGGTCTTAATTTTATTTTCTAGTCGCTCACTCTAACCTGAAGTTTCATCAAAAAGTTTTCACTACATCGCATAACTCCCAGTCCATCTATCGGCCGAAATATCATTTCAAGTAAGATGCAAATGGTCTCTTCAATTTTTAAATGATTAGTATTAATACTGTTATAATTTAAGATAGATTTATTATTATTGTTTCTATTAATAAAATGTTAAAGGGAATCAAATCAAATTATTCAGCAGCTCAACAATATTCAGAGTGCCTAGAAAATGTTTAGTAATCAACATTATTGTTCCACTTAGGATAATAATAATAACAATTATATATTTTTCAAACATATTCTTTTTGTTTTAGTTGATCCCATTTCTAAGCACTTTTTGGCGACATCGATGTGTTGGTTTCCCATCACTGTTGAGTGCCATCTGCCTCCATCTACTTTCTTTTTCGTTACCTCCCGCTCATTGCTGGAGGGCATGATGCTATATGCCCGCCCTTTTGACTTAACCCCGCATTAGTTTTTTTGCCTTAAGTATGCGAAATCCTAATCCTGCCCCAACCAGCCAAAAACCAAACGGTGCCAAATTGTGCTTTTATGTTGGCCCTCGTTATATATGTGTGTGTGTGAGTGTGTATATGTTTATGTATATGTATATGTTTGGGGTCGCAATTTTTACGAGTTTCCTGTTCAATGAAGTTGCACGTGGGCGTCTAAGAATTGTTTGCTATCGCTACGCAGGTCTACACACACACACACACACACACATACTCGTATATAATGTGAATCGTGTATTCGCCATTACCTGAGCGCGGCCTGAAGTCAAGCGAGCCAAACACTTGGGCTCTAATGGCCACCAGCAACGTTATTTGTGAAGGCATATCCATTAAAGATGCACCTTTACGGTTGTGTCAATTTAAAAAAAATTTCTTCTTTTAGTATCTCAAATTCGCAAATCGAAGGCAAACCAAAAATGGACAACCACGACCACATTACAATTATTATATTGAGATTTGAAAGCATTTAAAAAAAGCATACTGCATGCATAAAAAGAGGAACATTTTTGTGCGAGTATTGACATCCCTCAGGTTCTTAAAATTATACAAGATGTATATAGAATTTAGATTGAAAATATCTATGTGCACTTTACAGAGTTGGAACGTTTTCATAACATACTTTTAAGGAACGAGCAATTTCTGCGAACCCTAATACTAGCTACCTGACAATACATTTTCTCAATTTTATCCCTAGATTCTGTAGATGTTTTCAAAAAAATTTTCTCTTATGTATTCTTCCTGTCTTACCAGACAGTGTTTAGGAAACTGCTCCCTCTTAGGACACAAATTTCGTTCATATGTGTAAGAAAAAATGCCAGGTGATGAAATTAAAATTTACAAAAAATGAGACTGCCTGCTAATGAATGGCAAAAGCCGATATAACTATTTTGCCATAGCTATTTATTGTCGTTTTAAATATTGTGTTGCAGCAGCTATCAGGAATTAATTTTACAAAAGAATTGTGATATGTGAAATCGGATAATCCTGTTCGGATGTGGCACGTTTCGTTTGAAATTACAATTCAATGCCAAACCTTTTTTTAATCCAAGCACAATGAATAACACTTCCCCATGTATTTACATATTTCATTATTCAATTGATTAATGTCAGCTGCCTTTGTTATTTTTCTGCTTAATTGCAAACACCATTTTGTGACTGAAAGACGTGTTTTCTGGAATGATAAATGGATATGACAGTGCGGAATCGGAAAATATTCAATTTCATGATCAAATTTGCCAAAATACCAATATATTTCTTGGCTATATAAGAAGATGAAAGCAACAGGCAAATAAGGAAAACGATTGGAAAATTCTCAGCCCCATGACATGTTGACTGTTCCTGTTCGCTTGCACAGACTCACAAACCCTATCGCATATACATAAATTCGCATACGAAATATGCAAACAATTCAGCAGAGCGCCCGAACCGCCCTTCCCAAAATACGCGAATCAAATAAGCAAACATGCGGTCTGGCATTGACGCGGGAGCTGAGCAAACATATCAATGCTAATGTGATGGAAAGAGGAGTCCCAAACCTTCTACAAATCGATGGTTGGCAATCAGAATGGGAAGGCCTCTGTTGTGGGGTTGCGGGGCGGGCAGTCCGTTAAGCCTCTGGCCCGGTCAGCCAGCCAGCCAGCCAGTCAGCCAGCCAGCCAGCCAGTCAGCCAGCCAGCCAGTCTTACAGGTGTTGATGACAAAGCGATTTGCAAAAGACACGACGAACTGCATGTCTCAGCACAAAACAAACAAAGCACGCAAGACACTCATCAAATAGTTGTGTGTGTGTGTGCCACAAAGGGGAACTGGGGTTCACGGCCAGATCAGGGATGCAGAAAAGTATGCTAACAAATCTTAAAGAATCCAACAAAACACTTCATACAACACACAATTTAAGAGAAACTGATTAATATTCCTAATTCCCATAGATATAATTCGGCCATATTTTCGTTTTGTTTGTACCGATGTGTAGAGCGGGAACTAAAATCAGAGCTCCACTAATTACCGTGAAGGCCAGACTCTGTAAAAGTCAGGCTCCTTCTTGGTTTTAGATTAGAACTTAACAACTTAAGGCACCCAATACCCAAAAATAAAACTGCACATCGCATGCTTTTTGTGTAATTGTGTTTATTTAATGGACGAGGGGGGAATTTGAATCAGAAATGCGGACAAATTATTGCGGACACATAGGTGTGCTACTTAGTATATTTATGTATGCTCTCTGATGAGGTCAATTCGGGAATTAGGAAAACTTCCAGCGGTTGCCGCACTCATTGCAGTGGACAAAGGTAGTCATCGGCTCGTCGGCCGATCGGGTCTGCAATTGGTTGTAAGTGCAATTGCGTTTCTTGCATTTGCCACACTTAAGCATTTCGGTGTGGGTGCCCTGGTTGGTGGTCAGCTGAGCATCGCTCATGGCCTCTATGGCAAATGAACGGCGCAGGCTCTTCATCTCATCGCTGGCCATCTCCTCGGGTGACATTTTTGCCAATTCCTCTGCAGATATGAAGCCGCAGAGGAAATTGCCACGCAGCGTTGGATTCTTCAAGTCCTTCAGATTTGCTGAACGGGAACGTACACGATTCTTATAGTTCATACCAGTATTTTTGAACTGATCGAAAATCTGCTGTTCTAGCTGAATTGTCAATTCTTCGGGCTCGGCACAACCCTCAGGCACTTCGTCAATTTTTAACGAATTGTTTAACATATTCAAACATTTCAAGCGCATAGGATCGGTCACATGGCTTGGCGGGAACTCAGTTTTCGGTATGTAACTGGAAATCTTTCTTTCCTGTTTATTATTATCAGTAGAAGACAGGCTGGATGGGGCGACGTTGGGCTTGGCCCTGGGCTGGCGTTGGCCATTGTCTGTTAACGACGAATGGGAAGTAAAGCAACTGAATAATTTCGTTTCACCTACACTCGACTTACCGAGGTCTTTGGCACTGATAGCATTCTGATTAGTTCTTGGCTCCGATTTGGGTAAACCACGCTCCAAGTGAGCATTCTTGGCAGTGGCTAAACGTGCATTGTATTTGTTGATCGATTTGGTGACCTTTTCATAAGCCTTACTCAATGCGCCGCTGCCGGTGCCATTCTTATAGCCGCGTAGTATTGCATAGGGCTTGTATGTTCCCTTTGTCACGATTGGTCTCTCGGGGAATGGACGTGAGTTCCATTTGTTGCTTGGCTTGTTCCTCTTTTCATTGTTTGCGGCCAAGCCTGACCTACAGGGAACATTCTTGCGAATTGAGTCCGAGTACGGCTGGCGCCGTTTCCAATTCTCGTATGCACTACCATCTTCAAAAGTACCAACACCGATGCGGTTTTTGGCCATTTTTGCTTTTATGATGGGCTTCCAATAGCCTTCGTCGGATGATGAACACAAAATGCCGCTGCCGGGCGAATGGAAACCATTTGACTTCCTAACTCTTGCCTTCTTGCCCTTCTTGCGCTTTTTGTCTTTCTTTTCCTTCTCACCCATAATGCGGGTTTTCCACAACTTCCGTACGCATTGTGGGAGGCAGCGCTTCCAATTGATTTCGCTATGTAGAATACGCGGCCCTAACAATGGCTTACCAATATCTGCTTTCCAGCGGTTACGCAGCTCGATTGGCACACAGTATTTCCAGGTTCTGATCAGCGATCTGCCCAGCAATGCTATCTCATTGTCTTTGCTGCACTTTCGCAGTATATTGACAGTGATGCCGATGCGGGTCTGGATCAATATATCAAAACTCATGCGATAAGTTTCCAGCGTCCTTAGGAGTTTCATTGTACGTTTTTTCTTCTTGCCGTTCATATCCGGCCACACCTTGACCAGAGACTTCTGCAGACGCACAATTTCACTCGCAACGGACATCATTGCAGAAACTATATATTAGGAATAGGTTTCTTTCGGTATAAATTTTATTTTCGACGAAAACAAAAATTAATTTCTTATTTTTAATTCGAAAATTTCTTTAAATTTTCACACATACACCTATGAAGAAAGTATGAAGTCAAATGGAAATGATTTGCTAACAACCAAATTCTCATGAGCTGCTTGTTGTAGGCTTCATAAAATAATAAGGAAGCACAAATACGGCTTTTTTCAACACTAGTTCTTTATCGATTTTTTAGTACACTTGTTATTGTGAAATCGATAAGAATCCAAACGTTTCTTCTTTAAAAATGAAAGGGAAGCTAATCAATCTACAATGCAACCATGCACTTCTTGAGACTATACCACAATTGAGCCCTGACATTCGAAATTTTTAGTTGTAGCCCTCCTTCGGTTTACCTTTAATAAATAATAATACTTATTTTGGAGCTGCTAGCAACAAATTCGTAAAACTTGAACCAACAAATCAACCACAAATACATGAGATGGTGGCAGACCATTGACAGAGATTTCTAGCTGCAACTTTTTTAGAGTTGCATTTACACTTTCATATTTTTGGCTCGAAATAATCTTCTTTGTTATGAGCAGTGGGAGTGCAGACATGTGTATGTTGATTTGCTTTGTAATGCTTTATGCTTTATGGGAGTTCTAGTTGCCACATGTATGTATGCATGTATAAGCTTACGAACTGCGTCGCTTTCATTTCTCTGTCAATTCTGCAGCCCTGAGCACAGGAAGTGGCATAAAAGTGCTTCCTCGTCTGACGCGTTACGAAAAAAGCACAGGAATAAGCAAAAAAAAAAAAAAAATGTTTGCACATAACTCCAGGCAAGATGGCTGAGAGTCAGAAGAGCCGTTTACCAAGCCTAAAATGACAAGGCGATGTTGCCACGGCCACTGCCACAGCCATAGCCCGTGCTGATGTTGCTACTGGGGCTTGAGAGCAGTGTCTGTAAATCTGCACAGTTGTTTTGCTAGCAGCGTCTTATACAATATTTTAGCTACAACACCGAAATCGGCTTTTCATTTTAACTCAAATAACAGCTCCATATTGAGTTGCATTTTTGCTTCGGTGTGTTGTGGGACAGTTTCTACTCTGGGTTCCGCATAAACACCTGCTGTGTGTCAGTAACTTCCTAACGATGTCATTGACAAGCCTCCAATGTCGTTTAACACTGCTAACGTAGTAAGATATCTAACTAATATATAATTAGGATGGCACTCATGCTGGCCATAATGACATCCTGTGCCGACAACCTGTGCCATTTCCTTACAGCAACAACCATAACAATGCTGGCTACATGGTCAGGCAGTAAATAATGAGCAAATATATACGCACACCCACATATACAGACGAAATACACCCACATACCCACCCAGTTCCCTTTAAATAGAGACAACAAATAACGGCAGCTCGTCAACATCAGCCACGTCTTTGGCTTCATCGTCATTGTTGGGAGCATGCGTTGAATTACACTACACGGCAAGTTACAGGATATTTGATGTATAACTTAACATTCTTCTTTATTTATATAAACAACTTTTCTATATGATTTGTTGACTCAAAAAAATAAGTCCAATTTTGGATTAACTTTCAAAAGTACCCGTCTGTCCTTTTGACTTTGGAATTGGACGCCCATTTTTGAAATTAAAATGATGTTGGCCTGTGCTATTTATCGTGTGTTATTATCACGCATACGCCGTGTGCCGCTTCATGCTCGCTGGCTTCCCGTGATTGATGTACACAATTTGGCGCAGCACTTGGACCACTCCTACTCCTATTACTTCTGTATCAGCTTAAGCTTATGCTCATGTTACTCTGGTCCTGCTAATGCTACTGTTCCTGGAATTTTCTTCTGGTGCCGTGCACACTTATCGGCAAGTTAATTGCAGCTGCTTTTTGTGCTGCGTGCTGCGTGGGCCGCTGCAGTCTTTTGCTACTCCGCATTAATCATGCAGCGTGTGTCTCCAACAGTTGATAAATGGGAAAATCACTCAATTTTCTTCAGCATTCATGCAATCCAAATTGATCGGAGTCGGTGCCTGTGCTCGGAATAGTACAACCCATTTAGTACTTAAAAAAAATTATTTACTTATAATTCAATTGCATTCACTAAGTATTTAATAATGTTGCTCAAATCGTATTGCTTTCATAAGGTTAATGCATGTGGAATGAATCTGGCAGCCACCCGGTTGCATTTCATTTTATGACTCACAGTTGAACTTGTTTACATTCCTTGCTTCAAAAATGTGCGCTCTACATTCTACTCGGTGTCTTAATTTGCAAATGCTGCATATAAATACATTAAATCGCATTCACTGAAGGGTACATGTCCTTTGGTGTGCAAGTTTTCAACACCCAGGGCTCATAAATAATCTGAATTGTATATAATGGCTCTTTAATTTATTTCAAGCGATTAACTGATAATTTCTTGATTTACATTTTTAATTCAATGCTAATAAGCCCATTTAAAATTTGCATAACTAACAACCTTTTAGCTGAAAATGAAATGGAAATGAATGTTATTAGCGCCATTTTCCAGAAATTATTGCTATCAAGAAATCAGTTAATATTTTAGAGGAAGATTTATTTTTAATGTTTATTTCAGGGACCGCAAAAAATTATTTTGTTTTTTAAAGCAAAAAAAAAAAAAACATTCACTTATAGCTTTTAGAAAACGAGGATTATAAGTGCCACTATTCTTCCATGATTAGAAATGTTCATTTTCATTTCATTTTCTCTCACAACATAGTCATTAATTTGAGTTATACTTTACAACTTAAAATAAAAAATTAAAACTCGTAAAACAATGATTATTCTTTACGTTACATTTTTTGATCAAATCTAAAATCAAGTTTTAATTGTCCTTGCGTTTTTCATAGGGAATAATTATTTATATCCAAAGAAACAAAATTTATAATTTAATTTTTTTATTTGATCAAAAAATAAAACTTAAAGAATAATCATTATTTTATGAGTTTTATTTTTTTTTTTGCTAAAAAAAAGATGTTTGGTTAAATTGTCAAAAATAATCATTATTTTGTACTTTTTTTTGTAATAAGACTTATAATGGTTGTAGCCCCTGGTTTATTTGATTCATACAGCACTAGATCGTAAAACTTTAGATAAGCCGGCATTTATATATGTTTAAATGTATGTAATAAGAATTTGTAAACTGAAACCTTGTTCATTTTTTTATAACTAAGCTGCGGGCTGCTTTGCAATGAAGAGAAGAAAAAACGAAGATGGAAAAGATACCAATATTGTGATAATCGTGATAATACCAAATAATGAAGTCACAGTAATTTTAGTGTTCCTGTGAGAACAAATTCGCTTTAGTTACATGGCCATGGCTTTTAAATAAAGTCTCAAAGGAAAGCCCACACATCGCTCTAAGTACGAGCAGTCTATCCAGAGTGTCTGTTAGGTATATTTTTAAAATAAGTCGAATAAGATTTGCATGCCTTTTATGGCTACATATGTACTCGTGCTTCCCCAAGTACATACACGCACGATGTTATCAACGTTAATTGTACCTAAGTGGAAGATTAGGTAAATTTCATGACTGCATTAACAACAACAGGCAAAGTATGAATATATCTATATGCGTATATATAGAATACCAATGTATTTGTATGTGTGTGGGTGCGTGTCGTAAGCCAGTTATCCAGAAGGCAATAACAACAGCAACAGTGTTGCTGATGCTGCTCATGTTACTGTAATTTTGTTAGCATGAGATTGGACGGGATGGGGGCGGTGATTGTTGGGGCGGGGGCATGACAACGGAGTCGGCTTTGCGGCTGCTTATGACAAGCTTGACGGCTACGTTGACAACGTTCCTAGATGGCTGCCGACTCGCCTTGACTATCTGAAAGGTGTGTGTATAGGTGATGATGAATGCTGCTTGGCGGTGCGGTGTTCAGCTTTTCATTGCCTGCTGCTATGGTTGTTGGTCTCTCATATTGCTGTTGTTGCTGTTAAACATTGACGTTGACGCCATGTCTCCGATTTCCACGCTGTTTCCGTTTCCGCAGGCACTCACACGTACTGATTCCCATTGAGGGGATGAAGGCAACTTACCGAGTCTGAGCTAAACGCCACAACTCCTCTGTTTGTAGGCGTAGGCCTGTGCGTGATTAATTTAATGATATTATGGCCATGAATTAAAAATCGCTTTTGATATTTTACGTTCAATTCGAAAATAATTAATTGAATTGTGCCCTTGAATTCCAACATCTGCACATCTTCAAGCCCGTTACAGCTTAATTTTCTTCTTCCTTTCCTTCATCTTTTATTTTTTGTTTGGCAATACTGTCTCCATTTCCACGTAACACTGATGTACGTGAGTGTGTTAGCGTAAAAGTTTCAACTTGGTTGGTTAATTTATTTGCTAAAGTACATTCGGAACTCCACTTCCATACTATAGACACCTCCACTCATCCGCCCATCCGCAACTTTGTAAATGTAACAGAACTCACTCCGCCATCCGATACAGTGGAAATAATTAATTTTGTTAACACCATTCGCTCTCTAAAACTTGGCTGAAATTGTGGAAATCTTTTAATCTGTTTTGCCATAATACCTATGTTAGTTTGCTATTTTAAGCTTCGCAAGTTGAACGGACAAAAAATTACAATGCGCAGTTCGTTATCTCATTTTCCGTGGCTTAAACATTTACATTAATTTCAAAACCAAATATTTCAGTTGAAAACTATTGTAGCAACTTTTATTCGTTAAAAATATGTTCTCGTTATAAATGGTTTTGTTTTCGTAGTTTACCAATGTCATCCTGATCCCCTGTATGTGACTTTTTTGTATTCCCATTTTCCGATTGGGCATGATTTGAGGATTAAATGCGTTGTGAAATACTACATGTGTTATTTAAAAATAACTGATGATAGAGCCTGTAGTCTCGAACTCTGCCTATTAAGCATACAGAAAAACAATCACAGTACAAAGTACAAACAAAAAAATGTGC